TCAGCACAGTACAGAGCAGGACAAGTAGCTCAGGGTTTGGGGATGTGGGCTTAACAGTTGAAGCAGCCAGCCAGGTTACAATAAGCCTCTTTGGTCCGCGGTGGGGATTTGGCCTTGAATGATCCAGAGGTAAATTGTGTTCCTGAACTCATCCAAATCCTCACAGTAGAAGGAGGAAAGTATTAGAGGTCTTCATGATGTGTGGAAAGTAGCCAAATTATACTTTTGCATAGTTTTGAACACAAATCATCAAAAAAAAATATTACACTTGGTGAACACTCGCACTGAAAACACATTCCATTTATCTCAGCTGTGCATGGCTTCATCTGTGCTTTCAACAATGCATAAGAGAAAGGGAACAGGATGATTTATTTTCCCTGCAGAGGACCGTTGTTAAAAATCTCTGCAACTGTACAACCCCGAAGCTTACGGCTCGTTTTTCCATTCTGCTTACTGCCAAACTATACACAGCTGCATCTTCCAAAAAGCCAAGGGGGGCAGAGAGAGGGCAAATCCGAGAGTGGCATCCTTCCAGCGGAGAGTGCCACCCTGCCACGTAGACACACACACACGGGCAACATGACCTCTTGGCATTACAGTTAAGCAGCAAGGCACAGAGATAAAATTAAAGGGACACATCACTGATTTTACACATAGGAGAAGCATGACACAGTCTGTGGTTGTATAACATCTTCTCTGGCTTGTGAAAGGCTTTTAAGGCAACATCCATACTACTGCAACATGCATATTACTGAATTCAACTGCACAACAGCTGTTAGCAAAGACAACAGGGTCAGCAACACTTGTAATTAATTATCTATGTTGTGTTCTACACTGGCACCCAAGACTGACGGCAGTTTTCTTCAGGAAGGGAGTCATGTGATAACAGCCTGATGAATCAGCGAAGGCTACGTTGTGACCAACAACACCCTACCAGCAAGTGTCTACATTTTTGTTTCCAAACATCTCCATTTCTATCCAGACAGCCTAAGTTTTCTGACTAAAACAGGTCCAGTGGAGCCAAACTTCTCTGTTAGCGTGAACGTGTTAGTGGCTCTACAACTCCAGAGTTGTGCGTTATCAAATGAAAGTGCAGTGGTATGGATGTAGCCATAAAGTCTGAGAAAAGAACCCTGATGATGTCATAGTGACATCATTGTGAGCTTGACCCAGGTAAGACTCTGGATCCCTCAGCCTCTGTTGACAAGTTTAACAGGTCCCCTGGCTTTTTCAACATGCACTGCTAAACTTTAATTTGTGAACATGATTAAAGTCTGGTTCCCAAAATCCAGCACAATAAAATACATCTGTGTCACCTTAATCGCATTGTATTAGAGAATTTAAGCAAAACTGTCAAAGATTATGCAGAGAATACTTAGCAGCATGCTTCAGACTTAAAGTTCAAACATTGTCTCTGCAGTGTGTGTTCAGTGTCAGTCTCAGAGGACTGGGTCCAAAGAGAACTGACATTCAGTATGATTAAATTGGTGCTATCTGAAGCCCCACCCAGGGGTACGTAGTAATCCCCAACGTGCACAACACGCTGTTCTACTCCAACGAATTACTTCTTCCGCCAAGCTGTATAGCTGTATATCCTCATTTGTCTCTGATTGAAGCACATACACTGTAGACGTCCGTTTGGGTGTTCCCCCGGGGATGAAAGAGGAAGAGGCAGAGGAGAGAGAGGTAGACAGGCAGGGAGATAGGGACCGAGAGTGAGAGGGAGGAGAAGAGATAGAGTTATCCATGGTCTCATTACGGTGGGAAATGTGAGGGTCCCGATCCAAGGGAATGATAAAGGACTCCGTGGAGGAGGCCTCTGAGAACCAACAAAGACGGCTTTAGTTTCACTGGCAGAATGCATTTGCATAGCTTAGAAGCCAAAGCGTCTGAACCGGGGCTCATGAAAAGAAACCCCAGCAATTGCTTGGACTTCAATGCAAACGAGTGGGAGCGAGAGAGGGAGAGAGTGAAGAGAGAGAGAGAGAAGTGGGGTGGGAGTAAAAGCAGTAGGAACTTTTTTCTTCTCTCTTCAGTAGCATAACACAAAATGAGATCAGGAACATCTGCACATCCCATGGAGGTTGTCGTCGACTGACTTTGATGCGAAGAGAACATACTGAGGGCGGTACATCTGCAGATAAAGTAACGAGCACAAACACATTTCAACACTATCATAAGACTCATGTTCAATTGTAGCTGTTTCATATTATTATTTAGTGCAGCATCATCACACATTCCATGTTACTTGAGAATATTTAGCTGGTTTGTGGGCACATCAGGGGACATTTCCAATCGCTATGATGGAGGAGCAGATATGGGACCATCAAAGCTCTGGAGAGCAACATAGGAGATGAGCACAGATCAGGATAAAGGAATAGTCTCCAGGAGAAGAGTGTGTGGTCAATGAAAGACATAGACTCAAAGGAAGGAAGGGAAAAGAAAGGAAAGGATGGAAGAGAGAAGGAGTGCAGCAGATATTGCACTTCAGAGGTGCTTCTCTTTTTCCCTCTGTGGCCTGGAGTCATGGAGGGATGACTAGCCTTCATCAATCCTCTTTAATGACTGTGGCAGCACCACTTAACGCACTAGTATGTGATTTCTTCATTACCGAATCATGATTCCACCATTTAGTCTGCAGCGACGATGTATACTGATGTTAGTGGATGAAAATAATCATAGAAAATCTCATTTTCGCAAACTCCCCCATTCATCTGCTGTTGGGTTAATATGGCAATCAGGGAGGCCAAATGATATATGATGCTTTTAGTGCGACAAACTATTTGTCTGGTGGTAGTCATTGTAATTATTGTCATGTTTTCTTATTTGAAAAATAAGAAAGTCGACCCTTGTATGGTCCTCCACTTTCAAAATACGGCTGTGGCTGTGCACTCAGGCCTTGCCCTCTATAAAACTCTAACACTTCCAAGTTACTTGGCACCATTATATGTTATCCTCTCGCAGAGTTCATTTATTCAGTCACGCACTCGCCGCCTTTCACCTGTGGTGCACAATACTCCATTTCACTGACCCACACCAGCTCCCTTCATGTGTCAAAACCTTCAGTGAGTAGAATGGGAGGTGACGCAGCATGCATGCTGATTTTTGCCACTATCAATAATAAATTTTGACTTCTGAACTTTGCCATTTTCATTCAGGCCAGCTCTCTGGAGAAATGCTGTATGCTTTAAACATGAGGTGCTCCTCACCATTTACAAGAATATGATGTAAGCTTGGAGTCCAAAACATCTATGTGCAGCAACTGTCTACAATTAGCCCTTTGCTGTTTTTGTAAAATAAAGCAGCAAAATGAAAGGAAATTACAAATAATGGAGAATTGGTTTAACAATGGTGATGGAAAGAATATAGAACTACACAATCACAAATGAGGACAGATTCACACTCAAACAATTCCATCTGATACATCCCAGCCTCTCTTCCTCTGCTGCTGCATTAAGCCCACAAAGCCACACATACTACTATAGCAACACCATGTTGAGAATTATGAGATATGATACATCCTAATGAGCCTGCGTCTTCATCTGCACGCACACACTGTAGCACGGAGCACTCCCTCACACCAAGAAATCAGCAGCTTTGATCTGACGTTCACGTGATGAGTTTTGATGGTAAGTGACGTGCCCATCTCTGAATATATGTTTGCCTGGGAGAGACAAAGATGAGGAAGATATGGAATTGAGTAGATGTGATGATTTCTTACGAAAGGCGATGCCCTGTGGCTTAACGCATAACATGGAGGAATTCACCAACTCCAAACAGCTCCTATACAGGCATAATCTTAGACTGCCGAATGAGTACTGAGTGGTTTGAAGATGAGGCTAAATTGATAAGTATATCAGCCACACATTAACAGATATGAAATGTCTCTGAAACAGGTGTTAGAACATGAGACTTGCAGTAATATGAATAACTGTGCACATATGTGAGCAATCATTGCCCTGACATGTGCTGTGTAATTCTTTAATTCACTTCCCCCCCTCTAGAGCAAATGGAAGGAAAGAATCCTGGTGCATCATTGGTCAGGTGCAGCACCACGACTGTTCCTGTCTGACTCACAGTTACCTTTTATTGCTACATCATGTCAGCACACACACTCGCACACACATCATGGGGACAAAAGATCTATGTAGTGCTTGGCAATGACCCATGACTTACAGCATCCCACATCCCTACTTGATCTCACATTGGCCCGGCACAATCTCTGCTTTGGTCAGAGCCACTGTCACTGCCGACAGGTCAGGTCTGTGTGCCTCAAGGTTTCCTCCCTGGTCCAATGTTAGTGCACATGAATCATTATTTCCTCACTGTGCTGCTGCTGCTGCTGGGAGGATGACAATTCATAGGAGACATCTGTGCCACTGGTTGCACAAGCAGACAGGGTAAGAGACGGAAATGTGTGTGTGTCTGTGTGTGTGTGTTCGTGTGTGTGTGTGAGAGAGAGAGGGAGTGACAGAGAGAGACTCAGACCGACCTAAGGAAGAGGTAGACAGATCAACCACATAAAATCACTCCTGACTCTGCCTACTAAACGTTACAGCACAGTGCCAGGCCAAGCCAACCATCCAAATAATAACTAACACATTACATGCATGCAGGTGAACGGTCTGAGGAGGCGACACGCTTCAAGACGGCTCTACCAGGTCCCAGTGCAGTAATCTATGAGCAAGCACTACTAAATTTAGCCAGCTCACCGACCATCCTGAGTGATGGATTGGATGATAAAAGGGGCTGTGCATGATTGGCTGCACACACGATTTGCTGTATAACCTCAGGGTTGCAGAAAACATTCGGAGCCCCTCACTCAAACGTGACTTTCAGACCTGGTTTGTCAACCTCACATGAGCTGATGCTGCATGATTTTTTTCCCAGTTTTATCACAGGACCTTGTGAATCTAAAGGCAATGAGGGGAGATTTATGTGCATCACTGTTTTTACAAGGTCATGATCACATTTTGGTGTCAGGAGAAGCACACACTCACCATACACTCCTTGGCATAGGATGCCCTCCACGATCAGCGCCAGCAGCCCCAAAACACAGATAATTAGATCCATCCTTTCTTTCACGTTAATCTCTGCATATCCAGCTCTCAATGGCAAGAAGTCCTCTCCGGGGAGGTGCAGCCTAAGTGAGGTGCATAGACGCGGCGCTGCTCTGGTCCTCACGTCGACTGACTGTGGCTGTGAAGGTATTTAAAGACTCAGGTGGGGATGGTTTGGATGTCCAGTACCATTAAGTCAAAAAGCGCAGCGCTGGCGGCACAGAGGCGCCGCCGGAGGATGCGGGGAAGGCGCTGCAGAAAGCCCGGCCTTATCTCAAACAGCGACCTCTCTTCGCCTCCAGGTGGATGCCCTCCTCCTCACAGGGGGGGACAGTGTGTGTCTCGTCTTTAGTGAAAACCCCCGGGGCGGATAACCGTGGGCGCACACAGACGCTGCTGACAACGGGCTGAGGGAGGCTCGGTACCCACGGACATTGCTTCTCTATTCCAGCTGTGGCCACGGCTCGCTCCGCGGATGCTGCTGCTGCTGCACTGACTGCACGCTGTCAAACGAAGCCATCAGCTGCAGCCTCACTCAAATTCTCACCGTTCCCATCATGTCCTGGTGGATAAAGTCGTCAAGCTGCTGTTGGCGATTCTTACCGCGGTGGAGGATCGTGCGCTCTCACAGTCCCATCACGACTGCACCGCCGACGCTGTGCGCTCAACTCATCTCTCCCGGCGGCAGCGACGAGGGGATGGTTCAGTCCGGTGAGCAGCGGCGGCGAACGGCTTCTCCTCCAAGCTCCTCGGAGGTGTCGTCTCGGCGTTGCGAGACCACTTGTTCTTTTTCCTGGTGGATTCACGCGACGGTGGGAGCAGGATGTTTCCCCGCCGCGGATGCAGTTAAGCAGCGCTCACGTTGCGCAATACGTGCTGACGGAGCCCGAGTGGCACCGCAAACGGTCTGTGGCTACGTCAAGAGGTGCGTGGCTCCCAGGCGCTCATCTGTATGGGAGAGGCTTCGCTCGGCGTCAGGAAAGGAGGCATGAGAGGCGCAGCTGCTGGAGGATGCTGGGAGAGAGAGAGAGAGAGGGAGAGAGAGCGAGAGAGAGACCATTGGAATCCAGGAGCTCCAGCTTTGACAGACCTCTGTAATCAACAGTGTGCGCTGCTGAATGTCCGGAGATTGTCCGGAGTGCAGTGCATGTCTGAAAGTAGCTTGTTTACTCTTAGGGCGTAATTCGGGGGGGGGGTTGAATCCCCAAAATTGCCTCTGATGCAGCGGACCCAGCAGTTTGAATGATGTGTGGCAGAGTTCAAATCTATGGTCAATTGAGAATCTCCAATCAACATAATCACGGATCTGCAAGTGTTTGGACTGTGGGAGGAAGCCAGAGAGAAAACAGCAACCAGAACATGCAAAATCCACAGAGAAATTTTGGATTCGAACCAGGATCAGGAGCTGACCACAGCACCACTGTGCTGCCGTCATCAAGACTAGAAAAGCACCATATAAATACAGACCATTGACCATTTTTTTGACCGTGCCATTTAACCCCCCCACCCATGTTTAACATGTAAGCCCTTGAGACAAGGAGGATGAGATACAGTTCATCATTTAGCATTCATCTGCTACATCTAATTTCTCTGGCTTGAAACTGTGATCTCTCCGCGTGAGTCCGAGCACACACTGCTGCTGCCACAGGCCTTCATATTTTGTAAACTTTTTTGCAGTACATAACTTTAAAAGTTTTAAAGAGTAACAGCTAAGTGGTTCCAAAATAGGGTCCCAGTAGGCCCTCAGGGGTCCTGCTGGCAGTTCCAGGGGAGCTCCAGCAAAACGGGGGGGAAAAAATCCATTTCATTATATTCGCTTTTACAGAGTAGAAATATCTCAGTGAAAGAAACTGCAGTGAAGAGTTTTCTGACCAGTGGATTTACTCTCGCCATTGTCCTCCACGTACTTTAATGACTCATGGTCTTACAAAGCATTTCATTGTGAATACACTTAATTTTATTTCCCGTTGAAGTGTTGGGTTACAATATCAATAGCGAGCAGGATCTTAAGAAAAAATTAAAAGTTGAACTACAGTAGTTTCCTAGCAACACAATTTAACTTTATTTTACTTTTGGGACAAATGGGGATAAATGTCAGGAGCCACAGTTTGATCCATTGTCAAACAACCAACAAAGGCATGTGGCTATGTATCAGCACTCGATTAGGGTTCACTGTGAGTTATGGCGATTAATAATCATATTGTAATGCCTTTTTTATTCAGCTGCCAGCTGCCATCATTTAGAAGTTACACTAAAGCCAGATTGCTCACCAGATTTCAGCATCACATCATCCTATCAAAAATTTCAACATCACTTAAACAAGTAAATTGTGCTAAACAGTAAATGTTTCCTATAAAGCAAAGTAAAACTATTTAATCGGAGGCACAGGCTGTCCTTAAAGGGCTGCCTTTTGCAGGCAGCTGGGGATCAGCTTGGGAGGTGACTTAGTGAGCACCAAAGGGTGATTTGGCGCCCTCTACAGGGCTAAATTAAATGAATCCATTATCTTGCATTCATTGGAGTTATGTCAAATTATTGACCAGGCTATCATTTTGATTGCCCGTACTCACTGTTTAAAAAAATAGATATAAAGATGACATCATGATTACTTTATCCGCCTCATTACATTTCCATCATCGTTATTCAGACGAGCTGTCAATATATGATCCATAGATGAGGACCTCATGGTGAAATGGGGGAGTAAAATGAATTTAGTTTTTAATATTGGCCATTATAAATTAATTTTTTGGATCTAAATGATTAATCTTGTCCATCCATTTTATAGTGTCATTAGTGTGGCGTCCTTGGAGCAGAAGAGATCGCAACTGTAATTATTTAAAATGTCTCAGATCATATTTTCTACAAATAACTGGTCTTGTGAGGAATGGAGAGCTCTGTAATTCTGTCCTCTCCTTAATTCAGTACGGTTAACTACCCCTCGCTCTATATCTTTATCTCTTCCCTCCCAGTCTGTGAGAGGAGACATGCATCTGTTTGTGCAGGTGTTAGAAAAACGGTGCTTTCATTCCCAGATGACTAAATACAAACTTCCATTAAAGAAGTCATTTAATATTGAGTGTTGACTTGAATTTACTTTAAACAAATTGCTGGTGAGATACTTTTAGTTCCACGAGGTTCATGTATTCTTTCTTTCATTCAGTCCTGTTGTTTATGCATTCATCCATCCATTCATTATCTATACCGCTTACACTTTGAGGGTATATGAGCCAATCCCAGCTGACATTGGGTGAGAGCATAGACTGAATATAAAACATGGACCGAATGAGCAAGATGGAAGTTTTTTCATTGGGGCATGGTAGCTTCAATTCTGAATAGTGGGAAGAAGTGGAGACGTGTTGTTATATTGAGTTTATGGGCAAGAGTCAGGTCTCGAGCAAATCGCAGGGATGACATACAGAGGCAATTCACACTCTCAATTTAGATTCTCCATTTAACCTGTTGGACCATATGAGGAAGCCAGAGTACATGGAAACAAAACCAACACGTGCATATGTGGTTTTATTACCACCACTCACCTGCTTTCCATTATATAAACTGCTTTCTCACATATTTGCTGTCAGACTGTCTTTGAGCCATGTGCCTTAGCTTTCCAGCACTCTGTTCTTAACTTGCCTATTTTGATCCGGATCATGTTTTGGACGTTGTCAGGGGTTTTTTTTTTTCTTTTTTGGGGGGTGGATTTTGCCTCAGCCCGACCCTTTGTACTTTGTCTGCTAGGATTTTGTTTGGATTGTCTTTTTTGCAGTAAAGACTCTTTCTCTAAGAACCATGACAGCTGGTTGAAGCGGTATAATTTATTTTAATTGCCAACCTCCCACAACTGCAATATTGATA